AATGTGTGCAGGGGCGTCCGCCGCTGTCTGGCGTCCCAGCTGGCCGTCGGGGAAACGGGGCTGCGAGGACCCACTCTTGTTCGGACTCAAGTCGCGGGGTAGCCTCTGCAGCCCTGAAGATCCCCAAACCAGGGTCCTCGGGCCCCCCTCTGCGTGGCGCTTCTGCGGCTCCGGGCTCTGTCATCCCAGCCGGGGTGCAGTCCGAGCCTCAGACCCTCGCCTGGCACCGTCCTTCCCAGCCGCGGTGTCCTGCCCGGGAGCCCGAGTTCGATCTGGGTCCCCGCCGCGCCCGAGCAGGGCTGCGGAAGGGGCGTCGCCTGCGGGTCACCCAGAGGACACCGGGCGGGAAATTCCGGGGGTGGGAGTGAGAGGAGGCGGGAGAAGAGCGGGCAGGGGGAGGCTGGGCGTCGGGCAGGACGCATCGGCCAGTCCGGCGGCCTGACCTTCCAGGGCGACAGCGCGGGGCTCGGAGCAGGGCTCCGAGGGCGGTCAGCTCCCAGCCGGCGGTCAGCTCCCAGCCAGCGGCCGGCCCCTCGCCAGCCCTCCCTGCTCCGTGCGCGCCCCCAGCCGCCGTCCTGCGCTGTCCCCGCAGATGTCGGGAGCTATCTTCGCGCCCCTAGAGGGCCCGGGCACCCCGGATGCCGCGAGCGGCCACCCGCTCGTGTGCCCGCTGTGCCAGGCACAGTACGAGCGCCCGTGCCTGCTGGACTGCTTCCACGACTTCTGCGCCGGCTGCCTGCGCGGCCGGGCCACCGACAGCCGCCTCGCCTGCCCGCTGTGCCAGTGAGTGCCCCAAAGCCCCGACAGATCCCTCCCCAAGTTTGGCTCCCCCTGGAAGGGTCCCAGGTGCAAGGTCGGTGAGGCTCCAACCCAGGCAGAAAAGGCTAGAAGAAGCTGCACCCGGTCCATAGATCTCCAAAGCAGAACTTGCAGGCTCCTGCCCATTTTACAGATCAGGTTAACAGTGGTATGGAGAGAGGGGTTACTGGCCCAGGACTTCACACAAAAAGTCAGGGGGCAAGGGCAGAGCTTGAGCACAGGTCAGGGAAGTCCCAGTAACTCCCTTGGGGGTCCCAGAAGTCTTAGGTTAATATACCTTTCGTGGGCACGAGTTACCAGGGGGTAGCCCTAAATTTGCCCAATGCAGTGAGAGGGTGCTAAGGAGAGGCTTCTGCTTTTGACACCCAGGGCACCAACCCCACACTCTTACAGCATTGCCCAGGACTGGGCAAGGGTAGGGACCGGGTCAGAGTAAGCACTGGCTGTGATATTTATAGCAGACCCCGGGTCTGGGGTGCATCCCATCCCTGAGAGGCCACTATTTTTAGCTCCAGCCTGGAATGTGAGGGGTGGGGAGACTGGGAGAAGGAGTGGATCTTGGCTGCAGCCCTCTCCGCAGACACCAGACAGTGGTGATGGGTCCCAGCGGGCTCCCGCCGGTGGACAGACTGCTGCAGTTCCTGGTGGACAGCTCCAGGGAAGGCGTGGAAGTTGTGCGCTGTGCCAACTGCGACCTGGAGTGCAGCAAGCAGGCAGGAGTGGCCGGGGGTGGGTTGGGGAGCAGTGGGTGCCAGGTTGCTCAGTCCCTGATGTTGGTAGCATGCCCCCAACATATCCTCAGAGGATGACCCATCAGTGGATTCTCCAACACCCCCCTAAGGCACCATGGACCCTGAATGTGACCCCATTATACAGGTGGGGAGTCCAGGACAAGTGACTAAAATCAATAGCCAGGTAGTGGCAGAGGTTAAGGCCATTTGATCTGGGGAGAGCTTACTGGTCCCCAACTCAGGGTGGAGTTGTGACCTGGCACAGGAAGGGCAGTCCAATTCATAGGCCTGGGCTGACCCTGGAGGACCCTCTGCTCCCAAAGTAGCATGTAAGCAGCTAAAGCTTCAGGGGAAGTGAGGACGGTATGCTGTTGGGGAGGGACGTTCCGGTGCCTGAATCTAGGAAAGACCAAGGAGCTGGGGGCAAGGCTTCCAGCTGGGCTGGAAAGGGCACGTGGGACTGGGGCCCGTGGAGCCTGGGAGGGTACTGTGAATCCCAGGAGGCTGCCCTGCAGTAGCAAAAGCTCCAGCATGCAGAGCTAGTGCTCAGAAACGTGTAGCTCAGAAGTAGGGAGATGATCAGCGGGAGGCGAGTCACTGGAGGCAGGGAGGCCTGATGAGGAAATGGCCTTGAATGCCAAGGTACCCAGCTGCGCGTTGTTTTGTCATAGCCGTTGCTGGGGTCAATGCCAGAGCTGCCACCCAAGCCCTCACTGCCCTTCCTCTCCCTCCTGAGCTGTGACTCCAGATGGCCAGGGTGTGGCTGCGCCACCATTTGGCCACTATTGAGGGTACCAAGGGGAGCTCGAGAGGCTTTCAAACCACTCGCGCACACACTTGTGTCCTAGGTAAACTTGCCAATGCAGTGTCTGCTCCCCACCCGCACCCGTGGAACTCCATCTCCAAGCCCCTTCCGGGCATCTGCCTCAGTGTCCTCGTCTCTTAAATGGGTGTATTAGAACGCTGCGTGTCGGGATTTCGGGAGAGGGCTGCGTGTAGCCGCGCCGCTGCCCAAGGCTGGGACAGGCGCACGGGGACCCGGGACGGCGGCAGTTCCGCGCTGGCGCTGCGGCCCCGGCAGGCCGCCTGAGCCCGCGCTGCTCCCGCAGGACGCGGAGACCACGTACTTCTGCAACACGTGTGGCCAGCCCCTGTGCGCGCGCTGCCGCGACGAGACGCACCGGGCACGCATGTTCGCGCGCCACGACATCGTGGCCCTGGGCCAGCGGAGCCGCGACGTGCTGCAGAAGTGCCGTGAGTGAGGCGTGAGCAGCTGGGGACCCGGACCGGAGGTGGGGACCGGGACGGGCACTGCGCCGGGCCTCACCGCGCCCTCCTCCCCCGCAGCGCTGCACGCTGAGCCCTACATCCTGTTCTCCACCGACAAGAAGTCGCTGCTGTGCATCCGCTGCTTCCGGGACCTGCAGGGGTGGGTAGAGGGGGCCAGGGGGCAGGGCTGGGGGCGGGCGGGCGGGGCTGTGGGACCCGCGGCGGTGCCCTGAGCCCGAGCCCATCCTGTCCCAGGCCGTGAAGGCCCTGCAGACGGCCACGCGGGAGGCCATCGCGCTGCTGCAGGCCATGGTGGAGGAGGTGCGGCGCAGCGCCGATGAGGAGGAGGCTGCCATCCACGCCCTGTTCGGCAGCATGCAGGTGACGGGGCTGGGGGGACCAGGCGGCCACAGGTCCCGCAGCTCATCAGCCGGGAGCCGGTGGCCAGGCAGGGCAGACTCCTCCACCTGCCCGTGGAGTTTCCAGTGTGGCAGGACAGCAGCAGGCATTGGACTAACTACTTTCCAGGACTGACTTAATCACAATTGCCAGGAGAGTTTCCAGAGCAGAAGCCAGGACCTGGGCCGGCCCGGTGGCGCACTGCTATAGTGCGTCGCTTGAGAAGCGCGGTGGCGCTCCCGCCGAGAGTTCGGATCCCACATGCAGACCGGTTCCCGCTCACTGGCTGAGCGAGGCGCGGGAGCGGCGCCGAGGGTTGCGATCCCCTTGCCGGTCCCAGTCCGGTGGGGGGGCGACACTGAGGGTTGCGATCCGTTGCCGGACACGGAAAAAAAAAAAAAGAAGCCAGGACCTGCCCTAGGCTGGTGGGGGGGGGGGGGGAGAGGAGTGGTCAGGGAAGACCTCCCGCAGAAGGTGACGTGGAGGGTTTGGATACTCAGGCTCTCAGGCAGTGGCATGCAGGAAGGAAGGCCTCTCGCCCCCTGTGGGGCTGTTAGGTTGGAGAGAGAAGCAGCCTGACCAGCGTGTATGTGGCTGGTGCCCCAGGGGAGTGGCAGGGCTGGGTACACGGGGTCAGTAGCAGGCCGTCTCTCACAGGACAAACTGGCAGAGAGGAAAGCACTGCTGCTGCAGACTGTGCAGAGGTGAGTGGTGGCGGGGTCTCCCTCCCCTTGCCTCTTGGCCTCCATATGCCCAGCTCATAGCCTGGGCCTGGGCAGGCCCTGACCCACCCTGGGGAGCAAGACATCCAGGTGTCCACCCAGCTGAGGGGGGCAGGGTGGCCCAGGGCACATGGAAGGGGTGACAGGGAAGGACTTACAGAGCTGGGGGGGAGATGGGACTGCAGGTCCTGAGGCCCCCCTAGGTGGGGTGGACAACCCTCCCCTTGCAGACCAGGCAGCCTGACCCCTCCCCCAGCCAATATGAAGAGAAAGACAAGGCCTTCAAGGAGCAGCTCTCCCACCTGGCCGCCTTGCTGCCCACCCTGCAGGTAAGGGCAGCTGGGGGTGAGGGGCTGGGCGTCCCAGCCCAGAGGGTCCCTCCTCCCCTGGCCAGGCACCGAGCAGTGTCCCCTCCCACAGGTCCACCTGGTCATCTGCTCTTCCTTCCTCAGCTTGGCCAACAAGGCTGAGTTCCTGGACCTGGGCTACGTGAGTCTCCCCAGCTCCTGCAGGTCTCCCCTCCCCACCAGGAGTCCATCCTGCATCCTGAGGCTACCACCTCAGGGCTTGGCAGCCTGTCACCTAGAGACTGGACCAGAGGTCTCTGGGCTTACCTTCCCCTCCTCCACTCCATCGTCTACAAACCCTTTAGGGTGAGTCCCTTTTAAAAGGACAGTGAAGCCTGGAAGGGAGCACGAGCCTCCACTGTCCCAAAGTGCAGCGTGTCTCTGGAGTTCAGCCACCTACTTTCCTGTGGATTTGGGGATGGGGAGGGTTGGAACTTCTAAGGGACACCAGATAAAGTGCGCAAGACAGACTTGCTCTGGGGCCCCCCAACCTCCACCTCCCCTCTTCCTGCCCTTGGCTGCTCCACCTGCAGGAACTGCTGGAGAGGCTGCAGGGCATCGTCACGCGGCCTCACCGCCTAAGGCCAGCACAGAGCAGCAAGGTGCGCAGGTGGCCAAAGTGGGCCGGGGTCGGGGTCCCGGAGGCAGGGGAGGCTGCCTCACAACCCCGTCCCATCATCCAGGTTGCCAGTGACCACCGCACAGAGTTTGCACGCTGCCTGGAACCCCTGCTGCTGTGGGGGCCACGCAGGGTGGCTGCTGCCACAGGTGGCTCCAACACGTGAGCAGTGACCAAGGGGGAGGGCAGGTGGGCGCAGGGTTCCTGTGGGGGAAAGGCTGCCCACAGGCCTGATTGTCTGGGAAAGTCCACATGCCACCCTTCCTTCCTCCATCCCCGGCTCTCTGAGCTCCCAATACAGTGTCAGGGTGCTGGCTGGGGCACCTAGAGCTGGGCTGGACGCTGTCTGGGTAGCTTGAAGCCACTGGGGGCCTGATTCCTGGGCCCAGTGGAGAGCCGGAGACTCCACAGAAGTTAGGAGAAATGCTGAAACTGGCATGTGCATATCCAAGGACCCCAGAGACCAAGAGAAGTGAGGTGTCAGCCCAAAGTCCCTCTCTCCAGCATGGGAGTGAGCACACCATTTACTCAGGACCCTCCCTGGCAGCATCCCGATGGTCTTGCCCTTGGCCACACCCTGGAGCCACCCTGGGGAGCTTTAAAACATGCCCATGCGCATGTCACTGGGTGAGGCCTCGCATGAGGCTTCCTCAGAGCTCCAGGTCGTGCTGCACAGCTGGCTTGGCAGAGAGCACTGAGCAGCGAAGCGCTGCCAGGGAAGCCGAGGGAGGGGAAGACCCTACCCCCACACCCCACCCCCGCATCCACACTGGCTCCCTCCCCAGGCTGGCAGGGGGCTCAGGCCCCAAGGTGCTGATGGGGCCCAGCTGCCCCTCCCCAGAGGGAAAGATGTCGGGGTCACCAGTCCAAAAGCCCACACTGCACCGGTCCATCAGCACCAAGGTGCTGCTGGCCGAGGGTGAGGACACACCCTTCACGGAGCACTGCCACCGCTATGAAGACGCCTACCAGGTGAGAGGCCAGGGACCTTCAGGGTGGGAAGGGCCCCCACCCATTCCTCACCAAGGTGTAGTGATGGGCAAAGGGAGCTGTCCCGGCTGCCTGGCTGGAAGCCATCCCTCCAACCGAGGCCCAGGCTTCACGCAGCCTCCCCATGCAGGGCCTACAGGTGGAGATGCAGAACCTGAAGGACCAAGTACAGGATTTGCACCGGGACCTCACCAAGCACCACTCGCTCATCAAGGCTGAGATCATGGGAGACATCCTGCACAAGTCCCTGCAGCTGGACACGCAGATCGCCACGGAGTATGCCTCCCTGGAGGGCCTGAGAGCGGTCTTCCAGGAGGTAGCCCCTCCTGTGGGACCTGACTCCAGCCCTGCCTGTCGGGGAACACATGGGCTATCCCAAGACAGAAAGGGAGAGAAAGAGGACCTGGCCAGGTGCCCCTAATGTGGCAGGTTCTGGAACCCTGTGGCCCTGAGTAGCTAGAGACAAAATTGCCACCAATGGAAATTCCAAACAGTGCCACATCCGACCTCCAACTTCTTTCTTTCAGATTTGGGAGGAATCCTATCAGCGAGTGGCTAACGAGCAGGAGATTTATGAAGGTCCCACACAGCTGGCTGCTGAGTGAAGTCCCTGTCCCGAAGCTAACCTACATGCTAGCAGGGGAAGGAAGTCATCAGCCACTAACCAGATACGAATCTCCATACTCTTGCCCTTAGCGCCTGGCCTTGCCTCCCAGCTTCTAACTGGCTCCAAACCATGCAGCTGAGGTCAGGGTTCAGGGAGCAGAGTGCCCTCCCCAAGTGCCCTGCTCCTTAATTAGAGGTAGTCATTAAAACAGTTGGGATATTTAGATGGTGCCAGGATAGAGAGTGGGACTCTGGAGGCAACAAGACCCAACACTCTGGCCTTGACCCCACAGCCCAGCTCCATGACCTTCTCCAGCTGAAGCAGGAGAATGCCTACCTGACCACCATTACCAGGCAGATCACGCCCTACGTCCGCTCCATTGCCAAGGTGAAGGAGAGGCTGGAGCCCAGGTGAGGCTGGCAGGTGTTCCCAGGGCCGCCGGGACACCTCAGAATGTGCATGGAAAGGTGTCACACATTCAGAAAGAAGTCAGTGGACCAGGTCATGAGGGTCCATCTGGGTGGACCAGGTGTTGGACATCTGCAAAAACGTGGTCAAGTGAGTGAGCTGCTCTGAGTTTCTGCTTCTGGGCAAATAATCACTACCTCCAGCTCTCAGGAGTAGGTCAAAGCAGAATGCACACCTTGGGGGGTCGTGAGGGTCCTCAGCAGATCCAGACCGCAGGACATAGAGGAGAGAGCAGGAAGTTTATCAGTGCATGGTTAGGACAAGCCAAGTCTGGGCCAGAGTCTGGACCAGGCTCTCTCAGCAGCAGACACAGGCATCAAAAGGTGTTACAGAGGGGTCATGGTGGCAACTCTTCAGGGAGCCTGTCTCTTGAGGCCCTCGGCCCCAGGGTGGACTGGTTGCCCTGTAGGTCTGGGCCATGGCTGTAGCCTGGACTCTCTCTCCACCACCCTCCCGGGGATTCCATTTGCCCGACTGCCTCCAATATCACACGGTTCCTCTTTCATGTTTTGGTGGAGCCCCTGCCCTGGCAGCTTCTTGAGAAAGGATGCACAGAAGGCACAAGTTCTGGACAGCCCGGGTGTGAGCATGTCTCCATTCTATCCTGATGCTTGGCTGACAGTTTCACTGGGATCAAATTCTAGATTGGAAATTCTACATTGGGAAGGATTCTCCTTCCCAGGCATCGCTCTGTTGTCAGCTAGCTTCCAAGGTGGTTGTTGAGAAGTCTGAAGGCATTCAGATTTCTGATCCTTGTAATGTGACCTACTTATTTTCTTTGGAAGCATGTAGAATCTTCTCTTTGCTCCCAGTGTTCTGAAATGTCACATTAGCAAGGGTCTGCTTCCATTCGTGAGGTTGGGTGCTGGTGGAGCCTTTCAGTCGGGAAATTCAGGTCCCTTGGTTCTGGCATCCTTATTTTTGAATTGGGTGACTTCTTCACTTTTTCTCTCTTTGGAATTCCTGTTTCTGTATATTGGCCCTCAGGCACTGGCGCTCTAATTTACCTTCTCTGTCCTGTTTTCCACCTCTAATTTCCAAGAGCTCTTCTTTGTACCCTGACTGTCCTTTTTCATGGCATCCTGTTGTTTCATGAACACAATATCTTACTTCTCTGAGGCTGATAGGTGGGTTTTGTTTATGTTTTTGTTTTCCTTTTGGAAGTTTTCTCCCTGAAGTCTCTTTCCTCCAAGTTGCTTTTTGTTTCTTTATGTTTCTCTCTTCCCTATTAAAGGATTTCCTCAGATGCCAGGTAATCCTTGATTATCTGCTCATACTGGGGGATTCGGCGGGAGCTGGAAGCGAAAAGCAGACTGGGAGCTCTGCGCACATGCTGGTGCTTCACGGGAGGGGCTCTGGGTGGGTGGGTTCTTCTTGCGCTTCTGGAATGCCCTAGTGTCAGTTTTAGGGCCTTTTCCAGTTTCCTTCCTGGAAGGCCTCTGTATGGACTATTTGCGTGCATACCTGATTTCCTGGTTTGCAGTACAGTTGTCGGCTGCGCCCTCACAGAACGAATCCGTCAGACTTCTGCTGCAACGGGAGGGGGGCAGTGGCTCAGTGGCGGGGATCTTGACTGTCACCTGTCCTCCCTGTTGCAGAGGCAGTGCGGCCCGCTGAGGAGTCTACAGTGTGAACTGGGTCAGTCCTCAGCCTGTCCCGCTGTTAGTTTCCAGGTTGGGTTTCTCATATCTGCTGGCGTCTGCTAAATTAGTTACTGCTTGTTCGTGGGCTCTCCGGCTTCCAAAACCCTAGTGTCAACCTTTCCTGTTCTCAACCTAGAGAGGTCTTTTTCTCCTTGCTGTTTGGGTCTTTACTGGAGTTTTAGTGAGTTTGAGAAGAAGGAAAATTAGAGTGTGTGTGTACGATCAGACCTATTAACCTAGAAATGCCAAGTCATGTGTCAAGTGACTATTTTAACGTGTCGTTCTGGGAGGTTAAACTCATCATACTCTGCACAACTTTGATTAAATCCCTGTCTACCCTGGACTAGTTGCATGCAGGCTCCTAAGTAGACATTCAAAGTCATTTATCCCAGGTGCCACATGCTTCCATAAAACCTCAAAACCAGGCAGAACTAACCTATGGTGCCAGCAGTCAGGATGGTGATCATCTGGGGAGGACGTGAAGAGGACATAAAGCGACCTCTGGGGTGGGGACAGTGCTCTGGAGCTGACTGCGCAGGCTTGTTCATGCTGTCATCACGTGTCAGGCCATCCTCTTGTCATCTGCACACTTCTCCTTCCATGTGCTCTGCCTCGGGGAGAGGTGGCTTTACGTGTGTTCACTGCCTGCTCCCAAGGGGAGACTCGCTAGCAGAGCCACCAGCTCTACCTGGAAATGATGTCTACAGTCAGTTTCAGCAAAATGGAAACAGGCTCAGGCTGGAGCCCAATTCCTGGAAGTCTCGGGCAAGGAAGGGGCATCTTTCATCTTCTTCATGGCCCCCCTTTCTGGGTGTCTAGTTGCTGCCTCAACCCACATACCCCCCAGCCTGCCCCACTCCCCACCAGATCTGTTCCTATTCCTGTCACGGCAACCGTGCAGCTAAATGTGAGCCACCTCCCCCAGCCTCTCAGTGGCACTCACGAGGGGGGACCGTGGTGGTCTTCACGCAACCTTCTCAGTTTCTGAGACACCCCGCCCTCCCGGTGTCCCTCCTGCCTCTCCAGCCAGTCCTTGTTGGTCTCATTAGCCAGCTTTGCCTCCTCGGCTTAATGCCCAGATACCCGGTTGTCCCAGGGCTCAGTCCCAGGTGTTCTTATTCTACACTCTCTCCTTAAGTGACTTCTTCCAGTTCCCTCGACTGAAAATCCCATTGAGGGCTGGCCGGTTAGCTTAGTTGATTAGAGCACGGTGTCATACACCAAGGCCAAGAGTTAAGATCCCCATACTGGCCAGCTGCCAAAATAACAAGAAACCATTGAGCTACAGACAACCCCCAAATCCCTTTCTGGCAGTGTCCCCTGAGCTCTGAAACCATCTCCCACGGCCTCATCCTGGGCCCCTCCGCCTGCACGTCTAACAGGCGTCTCAGATTCAACAGTGGCCAGAACTCCTGACGACTCCCCGACACGCCACTCCCATCTCATCTCAGGTGCTCAAGTGCAGAGCCAGGGAGACGCCCGGGACTCCTCTTCACCCGCTCCCATCTCCAACCCATCCCCAAGGGCTGCTGGCTCCACTCCCTGTCTCAGTCCACCCGCCTTGGTCTCCATGCTTCCCCTTGTCCAAGCCACGACGGTCGACCCTCCCTGCCCCTCCTACATGTCACACAGCCAGGGGTCTTTGCAGAGCCTGATTCCCATCTCAGTGGGGGCCAATAGCTCCCTTGGGGACCTTCCCTGCCACCTCTGACATCAGCTGCCTTCAAGTTCCCCCACAGAAGCCAGACCGGTGCCCTCTTCTGGGCGTCTGCCTGCCATGTTCTTGCTCCAGAGTGTCACTCAGGCCTCAGCTTGAATGTCAGCAGAGGCCCCCAACCCACCCTGTTTAAAGTGGGGCTCGGCCACCTGTGCCCCGTGACCCTGCCCACCATGCTTCCTTCCAGCCTCAGCTTGTCCCTGACCAGCAGGGAGCTCCCAAGAGGCTCAGCCTGGCCTCCCGTGTCCACTACCACAGCCCCAGCCCCAGCCGGCCACCAGAGCTCAGTCAGTATTTGAGAAGAGATGAAGAGCTGGGCGGTCCTGATGTTTGCTTAGGTTTAGTGTTTGTGCAGAGTGAGCTCAGGCCCCGTGGAGGCTGCTCTGCTGCCCTCAAGCTTCCCGGGACCTGCTTTCTCTCGCCCAGGTTTCAGGCACCTGTAGATGATCAGCCGGAGAATCCACAGCACATGTATGACGACAGCGACAATGGTGAGACCCTGGCCAGATAGAGCGAGACTTCCCAGCCTGAGGGGGCACGTGGTCTGATTTCAGGGACAGTTACAAGGACAAAGAAACGTCACGGGCTTCTTTTCCCATTGGTCCAGCTCGCCGCTGACCAGCTCTGTGGCCTCTGCCAGGCCTCCATTTGTAAAGTGAGAGGGCAGAAAGCCTCTTAACCTGGACGGGTGACTTACAAAAGTGAGTTAACCCATAACAAATGCGACCTTGACAGGCAGCACCAACACTGGACAACTATAAGCTGCTGTGGTTGCTGCCTGCGTTTGCTGCACCACTGAGAGCTGCACACGCTTACAGGGAGGGAATCGAATTCACTTCAGTGAGAAAACGGGACTGACGAGGATGTCTTGGTGCAGGAGCCACCGCGTTTGCCTGAACACTTGCCAGACGGAGAGAAGAGTATGCAGTGACAGCCACGTCACTGTCACAGGCTGATCTTTCATTATTTCACTCTCAGTAAAACGTGATCACAGGGCGGGGCATGGAACTGCAATCAGGAAGGGCCTAGAGGGTGTGCAGAGTTTGCTGAACTGTCTAGGGTCACACTGTGGTTGGTGACTAGTCCCCTCTCCCCACTTATTTCGCTCAGATATTTCAGGGGAACCTCAACTCAAAACTCGCTGTCCCTATAAGCCACTGAAATAGCCTGAACGTGCTGATGTTTTGGTGACTAAAAACCCAGGCAATGGCTCTTCCTCAGAAATGAGATTTATGAGACGGATGCATTTCTGGTTCTGAAGACATGGTCACCTACTGGGGCCTTCCAGAAAGGCCTTCCATCCCAAAAGCCTTGGCCAGAGTGGATTTTAGTGCAGGGACACAGCAAGCCAGGGGAGCAGGGCAGGCAAGCTCGGATGAAACTGACTGTTCCTCTAGGAGCGACCCAGGAAGTGTCACAGAATAGAGGACAACCTAAAGGAAACAGCCTCTCAGAAGAGCCTGCACTGAAAAATAAAGATCATCACAGACCCAAACGGAAAAGAGGGGGACGGAGAGGCTCCCGATTTAGCAAATGAGACCAGCCTCAAGTGGCTGAGATATCACAATACATACATCAAAAATGGACACTTAAGAAAGTGTTTCCATTAAGGTTCCTTCTTTAGAAGGTAATTTAAAATAGTAAATTTACCAACAGTAAAACCCAGAAACTCTCTGACATGTCAGAATTTCCGATTCCTTGGCTGGGGCTAAATTTCGCTTTTTCTTGTACTCACATGGCATGAAGTCCTGGTCCTTATCACAGCAGCATGGGACAACTTCCTGGTCCGTGTGGAAAACATTCAGTGCATGAACATCCAGCCTAAAATACCTCGCTCGTTCTGCATCAACGCACTGAGTGTGTGTGTGCTGGGCCCTGTACTAGGATAGAGCGTGATCTGTGGTCTGAGTTTTAGGTAACAAGACTCCCCCACTGCGCAGCACCTGCTCCACCTCAAAGGAATCCAGTTTCTCTGGAATCACAGCCCCACTGTTAATCTGGTGCTACTGGAAAGTTCCACCCAGTAATCTGAGCAGTGACTCACAAAAGGGCAAAGAACCTTCACTCCAGCTTCTCTCCCTGTGGCGAGGGCAGAACTCATGAAGTCAAGGAAGAGCACATGGCCAGCCCGATGGTCACCATGACAAACTCATTCCTTTCCCCAACTACTGTCGCTCTCCTGTTCACCTTCTGTTGATAACAGAGCATGATGAAGCAGCACCTTTTTTCTAGTAGTTTTTCCTAGTAGTTTTCCATTTCTACACAGTACCTTTTTTATTGAGAGGAGTTTAATAAATGCTTTTAAAAAAATTAAGATGCATGACCTAAAATTTAAAAAGTTTTGGAGGCAATGTGATGCCCGGGTAGTCATATTTTAAGCAAATATCCAGATTGATTCAGTGGCTGAAACAGTAAAAGTCTTCTACATTCTAGGTACGCCTGCACATAGATACATACACACAAGTCACATCGAATCCAGTGCCCCTGCACCTGCAATTTCAGAGCACTGAAGCTCACATTCCAAAGCTTTGCAGACTTCCACAGCAGCTTCCAGGGCAAAAGGAATTCATCATTACAAACTGGTTAGAGGTAGGAATTCAGAACCAAACTGAGGAGGCAAAATACACCTGCAGGTTCTGGACATTTCTTATCCAGAGTGACTGACCTTAGAGTTTCTACATCCCACACAATCACATTATTATTCATAGTGAAATCAAGCAAGTTTTATTTAAGAATTGGAAAGAATAATCAGTATCTGTGAAAGAAAACCCAATTTAAAATATTTAAATAAACATTTCTGTATGTAAAAAGAAGAGTAATTACTCGGTTAAGTTACCCTCCTTGTGATGGGACAGGCTGCCTCCACCCAGGACGGCTGGGTCTTCCCAGCCCATGACAACAGTCAAGCCGTTTCTAGCAGGGTCACACAGAGCAAGCGCCTCACGTCACAGCAGAGGCTGAGGTCTTCTAACCTTGCCAAACCACAATAAAAGCACGCTCCGCTGGGAGATCACAACTACCAAAGGAAGCAAGAGAGTGCAGAAAAGGGACAGTGGCTTACTGTGCCCAGTCAGGGGGCCACGACCAACAGCTCTGGCCGAGACCTTACGAGCCTGGTGGGCTCATACAATTTACCGGTTTGGAAGTGTTTTTCCCTGTCACATCAATCCCCTGATCGGTGAATAAATGGCAGAGATTAGTAAAATGTACTTTTCAGGCTCAAGAAGTTCACACCAGTGAAGGGAACATCAGGTCTGCCCCCTTAGCCTTCTGCCCTGCAAGCAGGCTCACCCACCACCTCCTCTGTAAACTGCCCCCTCTCAGGATCAGCCTGCAAATCCTCAGGAAATGGTGCATTTTACACTCTTTCAAAGTAGCTCTGTTCTGTGCAATACCCATTTTCCATGTAAGAAACCTGCAATGGAAAAAGAAATCTCTTGACAGTTTCTTAATTTGAGGAAATTGGCAATGTGGCCTTTACGGTGAATACGGAAAAGTCTTTATTTCATTAACCTGATTCTCTGCTGTGGGCCCGTCACTGCTAAATTTATAAAGTTAAAAATAACATCAAGATCATGGTACTAGATGCAAGTCAATCATTGCGAAATCCTGCCCTTAAGTAGTTCATCTTTTATCCCTAATGATTGTGACTTCTGCCCTGGGACTGTGACGAGGGTGGGAATGTCCTCCCACTACCCCCACCTCTGGAATTATTCTTTAAAGCAGAGCAGAGTACACTGTGAAGTCCCTGCGGTGTGAGGCGGCACCTTACCATGTGGCCTGGCATGAGGTGGGCGCTCTGGCTCCTGGCAGATGGACGATGCCATCGAATGCCACCACCTTCAGTCCTGCCATCCACAAAGCCAGGCCTGTCACAAGCTGCTCTCCATCCACCAAAAAGACAACTCCATGGCCCCTAAGGGGCACAGACGCTGCATCCAATCCTGCTTCGATGCAGTGAGAAATAACTTTCCCTCAAAGAGCCAGGGACAGCTGCCAAAAACCCAACCACACCCCGTCCCAGTCTACAACCCTGGTACAAGGAGTCTGACTCGCAAAGCATGGCCTGGAGAACAAGTGTAGCACTGATTCCACCAAGTTCCTAAGCACAGTGCATGCATGCTGATGTCCTACTGGGGATCGGTCACGCTAGAGAAACCTGCTGTTGTCGGCTCCGGCTCCAGCCCCAGCCTCCGCCAAGGTCCCACTGCAAGACTGCTGTGAAAGCTGACGGGAGAGTCTGACTCTCAAACCAGCAAGGGTCACACCAGTCATCAACGAACCCGTAAACCTCTTTGGTATATATAACAAAGAAAAAATTAATGAAGCCATGAAATCTAGAAATAAGTAATATTTCTGAGTTGGTAAATGCTCTTTTGAACATACATTTTAGGTATCTGGCACAGTTAACCAAATAAATGTCTGCCCTCTTGTGTTAACCCTTACACAGTATGGATTTCATTTGTCACCCCTCTCATCTAAGCACTAAAAACATTTGACATTGTCCTTCTAAGTCCTCACAACACCCCTGTGAGGTAGGTGGTAATGACCCCATGCTTCCGATGGGGACGTCTAGGCACGGAAAGGTTTAGTGGCTCCTCGCGAGCCATGTGGCGTTGTGGCAGAGCAGCACTCTGGCCACATTCATGCTTCGAAGTGCCACCACAAAACTGCAGAAAATGGGGATCTCACTCTGAGGCCAAGTTCCTGTCTGGTCCAGAACCAACCAGGGGTCTTACCTCTTAAAGCTTCTATGCGTGACTCCTAAAGCCAACTACTCTCCCCAAACTCACAAAAAAAAAAAGAACACTGACTGAATCTTGGATGGGATTATTTGCTCCATTTAAGACTATTTTTGAGAGTTATTTGCTTGAATTTGTAGTTGAATATGCTCAAACGCCTTGGAAAAGACTGTTGGAAGCAGCATTAGGGACGATATAATTTTGAGAATGGAACATAGAAAACAAGCTATTACCATAGATTTATAATGAAACACAAAAATACGAGCTATGGCAAAATGAGAATAAAATCCCAAGTGAAGGGACAGCAGTGTTTCTGAACCTCTCACACCGCCTCGTACAGGGCAGGCATGCAGTAAGCACTTCTTGGATAAAGGAAAAATGACACATCTTTCACCCATCTGTCGCCAGTAACAGGAGGGGAGCAGGAGCCAAGACCCCCAGGAAGTCCACAGGGGTCCACGGCCCCCTAGCCTGGGGTATCTTGGTCACACAAAGCCACTCGGCCAAATAATCTAGAGGTGTCTCTGCTTACTTGCTGCTGAATAAAACTTAGAGCTAGAAACACCAGGTGAATCACCTTTGAATTTATACTGCTATTTATAAAAAAGATATGTAAGTACAATTAAATATATGAAGAGCCAAAGTGTCATATAAGTATTTTTAAAATTATATAGATGTTCATGCACTCAAGGACAGAAATAAAGAGGTTAAAGCTGTGTTGTTTGTGTTTTTCGGTTAAATGGATGGTTTTAAATGTATTTTTAATGCTGATAAGCAGCGATGCCCACTGCCCCTTTCTGCAGCAGAAGCATTACTGGCGGCGGAGCCCCCTCTCCCAAGGAGTCCTGGTTAGAACCCAGCCCGCGGCCTCGTGGCGGGGGGCATGGCCTGCTTGAGGGCTGTTGAATATTGCTGTGATCGGCTTTGTTCATCTTTCAGTTGCGTCCTACCTTGATTCAGTACAAGAATTGATTGCTCTGGCAGGTCCTGTGGTCCTAAGGCCTTCTGACCATTCAGTCTTGAGTGACATTCCAGAAGAGTGATTAGTGACATATAAAATGATTAAGAAAATGCATCCCGCAGAGTGGCCGACCAGAAGGAGTTCTGTCCCGCCTGGCCCACCGCCTGTCATAGCTCCACCTTGACTCCCTTTATGAAAGGCAGGCCTGTGGGTACCCTCTTCTTATACTCCAGGTACTCTTCTCCAAAAAAGTGAATTAATGAGATTTCCTCTTCTTCTGTTCGATCGCGGAAGAACCGCCACACCGTCAGGGCATAGCCGACGCCGCAGATGGGGTTGCACAGCATCACCTGACAGAGGGACACACCAAGATGAGCAGGGTCACAGTGGTCCGACGCCCCACACTCTGGCCAGCATCTGTTTTTCCCTAATACCCAGTGGATTTCTGTGCCAATGGCCCAAGAGACTGTCTTAAAGTAACATTACTGAGATCACACAGTTGCGTTCCCATGAGAACTACACACTCATCGCTGTAGCTTTGTCCACACGCTTTTCTGTTGTTCCTCTTGAGTGAGAGAGATCTAAACATTACAAGGTGAGATACACCTCTCAGATCGGGGTGATGGCAATGCCCCTCCCACCCCACAAGTATGAATTCCCCGACATGAGGTCTCGTTCCCGTGCACACGGCTTTCCTATCCAGGGCTCCCACGCCCGGACACACTCATTCCCACCGCTCGGCTGCCCTGGTCCCCTGCCTCCTGCCCCCACAGCCTTCTCCTCAGTACTGGACACACGGCCACCAAACTGAGCTTCCAAAAACACCTCTTCCAGCAGCTCACCCTGCTCAGAAAGCTCCGATGCCTAAACCCCACCTCTCAGCCCGGCGCTGCGACCTGGGAAGGCAGCACCTCGCCCACTCTCTCCCAGCCTGCTGCCCTCCCCCAGGCTACGTCCACTCTAACTCTTACTTTCTTTGCTCATGGGGTTCTTCCACTTTTACGAATGTCCTTCCTGCTGATTCTCACCAAAAAGTCCTTCAGGGCCACAGGCATCCCCCAGCTCCTGGGAATTCCCAGCTTCCTGTGCTCCTCGGGAAACCCACTAACCCACCCCTGCCCACTGCTGGCTTTGTGCGCTGGTCCCCTACAGACATGTGTCTTCCCCAAATAGGTCCTTCCACCTGGAGAACTGGGCACATGCCATGACTTCTTACTACCTCTCTCCACTGTTTATCGAGTGCCTACTGTGTCCCAGTGCCATGCTAAGCCCTTCATAACTATTAAGCCATTTGACCCTCACAGCAAGCCTTGGAGGTAGCACCATCATCCCCACCTTCACATGTGAGGAAAGAGAGGCTGAGCAGTAAATGCCAGAGTTAGGCCTGGCCCAGCTGGTGACTCCAGAGCCTGTGCCACCTGCCAGGCAGGGCCATGCAGCTTTCTGGGCATCCCCCTGCCAGGGTTTCCCAATTGCAGGCCGCAGCTCATTGCTGAGCCAAGAAATCAATTCAGTGCATCATGAACAGCATTACAAATAATAAGACAGAAATTAGAGTGTTTCATACACAGTAAGGGGGAGTATTGTTCCAGGAAAGATGTGTTCCGTTTATACACACATGCATGGGAGCACAACATGAAAAAAAGTATCTATGGTCAAAAAGGTATAAAACACTCTTTAGAGCAGTTAGGTATATACTAATCAAGCATTTATGGCAAATTACATTATTCAAATATAATCAGTTTGTTCCCAGGGAATGCGATTGTCAATGCCGGAGTTTTGCGTGTTTCAGAAATTCTATGTAGTAATCTACCTACTATACCACTGGGGGTCACTACAGAGTCCTCATGGACCATGCATTGCTGCTGGGATGCCCGGGGGCTCTGAGTGGATTTTCCCAAAGACACGATGAATTTTCCAAGCTCTATTTACATTCTCTGGCCAAATCTTTCTAGAAGCAGGAGTACAGAATCAAGAGGCAGCTGTCAAGAAATGAAAGCTTGGTCTGCAGCCTGAGACAGAACAAACCTCCATAGCTCACATTAACCTAAAACATGGCCTTGGCCTCATTAATACCCATTTCTGATGAAAATGAGCTAAGCTGCCACATGAGTGGCAGACAGTGCTCCCTCCCGTAAGCCTCATCTCTGTCCTCAGCCCCAGATCTAAATTAAAGAGGCAGAGAAGGGAACCGCGGGTGGGTAACAGCACCAAGAATCACCAAGAGTTTAGAATGTCCGGACTTTAGGTACATAGTCAGAAACACAAGGACTAAATTAGCTCTCTTGACTTTTATCTAGTTATCACGTGAAACAAGCCAGAGAGCACATGTCCCTATCAAAAGGATACCAACAACTTCATGAATACACTAAAAACTACTGAATATTGTATACTTTAAGATGGTGAGTTTTATGGTAGGTGAACTATATCTCAATATTAAAAACGTAAAAAAAAATAATTAAAGGAAACCAGTGTCACATCTGATACTATACCTGGGTTCCAATACTCCAGTAAAACCACCCAACATAAGAAGGGTGCCGGAACCAAGCGTACACTCCACTTGTCACCAGAGTGTGGGTATCTGATTTTTCATTCTGCACCACGTGGTTGAAGTTGGAGCCAGCTGTAAACATGGCTGCCTTCCTCAGACATTCTCCAAAGACCACCATCAGCAGCCCCATCGCACTGAGCCAGGTGATCTGCTTTAGTTCTGCAGGAGAGAGACATCGGTGACAGATGGGGGGGGGGGGAATGACGCTGGGCTGCTGAGCTCCCCGCTTCACAGATTAAAATAAACCTATTTCCCCAAGGACAGAAACATTAGAAAACATGCTTGGACAATCTACATTTGTCACCACGTTAAAATTTAATGATAAGAAAACACATTCTCCTAAGTCGTGCTGTTCATCTGTTCACTTTAAAGTGCCAACAAGCCCATTAGAGCATCACGATGCAGAAGTCCTCCCTCCTAGCGCTCATGGGCTCTCTGGTTCCTGTCCCCTGCCATGCACTCCTTTCCTTCATTTGGGGACAAGTTCAGCTAAGAAAAGCAGAGAGGGGTCCAGGGTCTCCAGCCTGAATCCTGGGAGCCACGTGCATTTTTTTCATCAGCTGTGGGAAGTTCAACTTCAGAGTACGTTCCAGATGCAGAGGTTTTTGCCAATAAAATCTTCACATGAAATTTCTCAAGTCACAGAAAACGAATAGATCCAAAACTCATCTGACTGGAAATTACGATTATCACTTTCAGAGGCTGGGACTACACATTACACAGTGCACAACGTTATGCGGTGTTTAAAGCAAAAGGTCAATGCATCCTCAATTTAAAATCCAGAAGCAGACTTTGTGAGCAGAGCTCATCCTTTATAAATAGCTTAATGAGGATAAAGGTCTGGGGAAAATCACTCGGGGAAGATTGGACCTGAAAGGTGAACCAATGTCACTGTCCTTGACCCCCCATGGAAGCCACCCTTCTCCCCTCCAGAGGGGAAAGTTGGGCACACTAACCTGGCCAAAAGATATTTTCAAGCGTGAACTCTAACCAAGAAGAAAGAGCAGCTACTGTATACTCCAGACTGTGGTTCAGGAGAAAGGAATCCAAGGACAGACTTTTGGGATTATTGACTGCTGTCACTAAGTATTCAGAATAGTGGAACAATGACAGGGAGCACATGTACCTATTTAAAAACAAAAAGAAAGAGAGGTAAATTGGGGCAAGGGAAACAAGTTAGCCTTACGTAAAAATACAGATTTGAGTCTGCCCCCAATTCTATGATGAGGTCCTGTTGTCACGTTCCTGACAGTGGACATCAGTCACCCATATGTAGCATTTACTCCTTCAGGTTTTCAGAAAGTGAGGTTTTTAAGGGACTATGTTTCTGAATGTCACTGGCAAAAAAAATCCCCAAAGGTGAGAGGGAGGCATTATGGGCCCTTCAGTCATTTTAAAATATCACTACACACAATAAACCAAGACAGAGGGAAATATCAACATAAACTAGTGATGTACATTAGATACCAAATTCAACAAAACTGAAATAATTCCAGCAAAGAAGGATTAGATGGCTCAGAGTACGGATAATAGGAGACAAAGCTTTTTACTTTGAAGCTACTGGTTCATATCCAGGTCAGAGAATAGAAGGCTCAAAGGACTGAAACCACAGTGTAGGGAAAAACCCTACACAGCTATGGGGGGTGCACTGAATGTGACCTAACAGAAATTAGAGGCGGAAAAGGCCTATGAAGACAAGCCAGAGTCTTGGCCCTTCCCGTCACCAAGGAGAACCTGTACCCCTGCCCGAGAAGGACTTGTCACATTACTGAATGCTCCAGATTCAGCTGTGGGTGAGGGCACCTTTGGAGAGGGTGCCGGGGAGACCTGTTCCTGAATGCAACAGAATCATCCAATGTGCCTGAATTTGCAAGGTCTGAAATGCGGGAATCTAGGTGGGAGCTAGGAGACTTCACTTCCACAGAACCCTAAAGAGCCTTCAGCCATCAGACATGAGACACAGGGATGAGGAAACGCCACTACTGAGCCTCTGACCTGTCCACCCTCACCACAAAACCATTATTCCCAGAGTACTTCTTACCAGCCAAAGTGGTTCCAAGAAGACTGGCTGAAACTTAGCAGCACGCCACAGCCAAACACAAAGCCAAGGAAACAAGCTCGGATGGCTATCTGAAACGGACCCAGAAGAAGCTCAGTCACCCGGCCGCTCTCAGAGCACAAACCCAGGCTTCCTGGTATGAGCAGGCCCCTAACAAGCACACAGAGCCGATCCTCTGGGAGGTGAAGGGGGTGACGTAGGACTGCCTGGGTTGAAATCCCACATCCCCTTCTGCGCCCGTGTGGCCCTGGGCAAGTTACTTCTCTGGACCTCGGGTTTCCCCCCTCTACACCTTTTAGGACAGCAGTGAGGTTTGGTGACCCATGGACAGCACTTAGGAGTAACTGCCACATAAATTTTAGCTGCATTATTATTATTATTATTATTGCTATTATTCACGGCTGTGGGAAAACTGCTTAAACCTAACTGATGGCCCGGATCGTCCCAAGTCCGTGCGGCGAGTCCGGTCAGGGCCCCCGGGACTCTGCGGGGCCTCAGACTTGCAGCAGGCAGGTCTCCACACCTGGAATTAGGTAAAGGGGCCGGCGGGCCGGCTGCCTCCCGTCCCCAGGCGCAGCTGCCGAGCGGCACCTCCCGCAGCTGATCCCCTGCTCCACCCGGCCCAGCCCGGCCCGGCCCGCACCTGGTAGCGCGGCGGCCGGTAGAGCAGCAGCA